ACTGCATTTGACAGCAGAAAAGGAAATGTTTATTTTTTTAATTACTATATGTCAGATAACACAGAACTGCTTTCTCATTTTATCTGTACATATAGGTCATTAAAAATGGTTATTAAGCATGGTCATTTTTATAATTAAGAACACTAAAATACGGAAAGGTTAAATAAAGTGTCTAGTCAAACACAGGGACACTTTACAGACTTTACCATGAGGTATTTGAATGTAAATTTTGATGAGTTTTTAATTAGCGTATCTTAAGAGAGATTAGTAATATATGTAAAATAATGTTAAATAAATATATATATTATATACTGCTTTAACAGTTTGACAATAAGAAGCACAAATTTGGAAGTGGTGCTGTGGCTCAAGAGGTAGAGTGCTTGCCTTGAGCTGAAGAGCGCAGAGACAACGCCCAGGCCCAGAGTTCAAGCCCCACGACCGACCAAAACAAAACCAAAACCCAAAACAAAACAAGAAGAAGAAGCACAAATTGGATGCTGAAACAATAGGACAGGGGTGTAAGAAGGAGAATAATAACAATAGAAACAGGCTTTTTAGATATTGGAATTATTAGATAGGATTTTAAAAATCTTTAGAAGTTGTTCTATCAAATTATACTCCAGTATCTGTTAATCATCCTTTCTACACTTTTACCCTTTCCTAGATATTTCAACACAAAGAAATGATGTTTGAGAGGATTCATGTGCTAAGTACACTGATTCTTACACATCAGCTGCATGTATTAAAATATCACACCATACTTCAAAAATATATTAAATTATTAATTTCCAACTAAAATGTAAGAAAATACTTTTAAGCCAGTCATATAGTTACATACCTGTCATCAGAGCACCCAGAAGGAACATGAATTTGGGACTGCCTAGACTTTTTAGCAAGACCTTGTCTCAAAATATATAGAGAGATTCTGTTTATTTATTTATTTTTTAATTTTATTGTAAAGGTACAGAGGGAATTCATTACATAAACCAGGTAATGAATACATTTCTTTGGAAATAGTGTCACCCCATAAATCCCATTTTAACACACATATTCGGAACACAACTACATTTGTCATTTTTAAATAACTAAAAGCTAAGCTAAAAAATGATGTTAAGACCTGCTTTCACTGTATTTGATGTTGGTATAATTTGTGGAGGGGAAAGGCAAAAACAAATCGTTTAACTAGGGATACAGGTGGACCCATTGCAACAATGAGATGTACAAGTCGTTATGTCCAAAAACGAACTTTACAACTTTGGTGGGGGGTAAGGAGGATCGGGTGGGGGGAGGTGGGGGAGTCTGGGAAGGGATGAGAAGGGGAAACAAACAGGAGGCAACAATGCTTGATAAGAAATGTACTCGTTATCTTGCCCATGTAATTGTAACTCCTCTGTACGGTATTCTCACACACACACACACACACACACACACACACACACACACACACACACAAAATGTTGTTAAGGACCAAAGAATACAAACTAGTATTCTTTTTTTTATTGTGAAAATACCATACAATTACATGAGCAAGGTAATAAGTACATTTCTTATCAAGCATTGTTGCTCCTCCTTTGTTTCCCCTTAGTAAAGAAACAAATAACAATTTTAGAATGAAAAGCATAATTAAAATTTAAAAGGGGTTTCATAGACTAGACACAGTGGAACAAAGATAATATAGACTATAGGAAACAAGTATTCTGAATGTAACATAGAGAGGTAAGTGAAAAGTACAACAGAGAATAAATAAGCAGCATAAACTTTTTCTAACATTGTTTCATTGGAGTCCAACAGGAGAAATGAGAGAGATAGAGCCGAGACAATATTGGAAGTAAGAAGGTAAAGAATGTATGCTCTTCCCAAGCTTTTCCTATTTCCACACGAAGATACTGTTTTACTAAAACTATAATTATTTTTGATAAACATATCTTTCATTAACATTATTTTAGGACATTTTTAGATTTATAGCAAAATTGAGTATACATACAGAATTCTAATATACTCCTAGCATCACCATCCACTGCCAATACCCCTCAGTAGAGTAGTACAGTTGTTACAAATGATAAAGGTTATATTAATACTTCATTTTTATCCCAAACCCATTGTTTACATAAGGTTTATTCTTGGTATTATACATTCTTTGCGTTGGACAAATGTGTAATGGTATTTATACACCAAAATAGTCTCCCTACCCTGAAAATCTTTTGTGTTTTTCCACCTCATTCTCCCCTCCACACATTCCCTGACAAAAGATTCTTTTACATTTATCTTTTTAACATAATACCTGAAACTTATCTACCCCTCCACCCCCCACACACATAGGTGTTTTCATATATGGTTGAAAGAATGAAAGAATGAAGGTAGTAATTGGAGAGAATTAGGACATCTTATCATTATCTTACCAACTGGTGTTTGGTCTGTTTTAATATTTATACTTTACTATGCCACTCGGAAGATTATTCCATCTACTCTGACATATCAAGTCAATACATATTGTCTATTAAACATTTAAAAAATGTGCCCTAGGCACTTTAAGGTTTATTTTATGATTGATCTACTTAATTCAATGTGTCATACTTGAATTTTGTTTCATGATTCCTGGTGAGATTGAATTGTATTTTTATATGGCTGGCAATTTTATGGGAATTCATCCTCTTGATTTTTATGAGCAAGAGGTGCCTTCACAAAGTACTGCTGGTTTATAAAGATTCATAGTTTTAGTCTCTTTTGCCTCTTTTTAGCTGCCTAAGACAGAAAATTATTGGGAACCAATTAAAAACATAATAGAGAAGTAGACTTTTTACAGATTTGAGTTTGCAACAGCTTTTTTCTAAAAAGCTATAGAGAATTGCCAAATTATCGTTAAAATAATATATAACATTTCTATGTGCTAGCAGAAGTTATTCATAGAACATTTACCATCCTTTTCCAAGTATTTAAACATTACAAAACTGGTGTTATTTTGTTTTAATATAAATTTAAGAATAAAATGTTACATATAATGTTCATTTTCAAGGTATCTTTGTTTTGTCTTTTTACAAAAAACTATTTTTGAATCTTTTCATTGTCTTTAAGTGGTTGTACAAAAGAGTTGCCATTCAACAAGGCAGCTTATCAATATAGTGCATCTTGATCAATGTTACCCCCTTCAGCATTCTCACTCAATCTTCTGACCCCATCCCTCTCTCTTCTAATTTTAGGTTATGTATTGAGTTGTTTTTTGCCATGTAACGAAACAGCTTATTTAAGTATACAATGCACCTTGATCTGTGTGATCCCTTCAACATCTTCACCCTCGCCCCTCTGATTTACCCCAGCCTATTTGTAAAGAAATGGAAAGAGTTTGAAAAAATTGTATTAAGCCAAGTAAGCCAGACCCAGAGAAACACATTGTTTTCCTTAGTTTTGTAGCTAAAATGTGCCTATAAATCTATAAGTAAACATATTGGGTTGTATGCAAGTGATTACAAACGAATTAACTGAAGTATAATAGACAGTATGGAGAGCTCAAATAGTGTAATTCTCTAGAAAGACTAAGTCAAAGCCCAACAAAATAAGTACCAGGAAATGGATACTTGCAAGAGAGGAGAATGAAGCCAATGGGATAGTGGTAGAAGAATGAAGGGGGAAGAATGCAGGCAAGAATTCATTGTATATACAACACAATTAAAACTATTTCTTACTCCCATAATCAAATACTAGGGGAGATTTGAAATTTTATTCATTTAATTTTGACCATATATGATGATCTTCTTTTCTTTTTGCAGCTAAAAATGTCTCTTGTTTCCCTTTTTTTTGGAGTTCATTTCATAGATTATTACTTTATATGATCATCTGCACATAGCTATTGAGCTTTTGTCAACTACTCCTATGTATATGCTCCTTTGGTTTCAGTGTGTGAATGTCTAGAGTCCTATATAATTTATCATGTCCCATTGTGTGTACATATTTTAATTATTCCGTATGTTTACTTGTAGATTTATAGGCCCATTCTAGTTACCAGAAATGAGGGAAACCATGTGGGATAGGCCTGAGGACCAATGAAACAGAATAGAAGACCCAGAAATAAGCCCACAAACATATAGCCACCTAATATTTGATGATAAGGGAGCTAGAAACACAGGCTGGAAGACAGTCTCTTCAACAAATGGTGCTGGCAAAATTGGCTGTCTTTGTGCAGAAAACTGAAGCTAGATACTCACATATCACCTTGCACCAGATTCAACTCTTCATGAATCAAAGACCTCAATATAAGGCCATATGCTGTGGAAATATTACAAGAAGGGATAGAGGAAACCCTAGGCCTTTGAGGCATGGGGTGAAACTTCCTAAATAAAGATCTAGAATCACAACAAATCAAAGAAAGACTAGGTAAATGGGATTGTATCAAACTGAAGACCTTCATGGCAAAGGATAGAGCTAGCAAGATGATATTCTTATCTAAAGTAGTGAGTTTGTCAGTTTGCACAAAAGACAGTTCTTTGTGAAAGTTCCATTCATTAGGGATGCTCTTCTAAAATTTCTAAAATTTGAGGCATTTCTGGGAAAAGTTATTTGAAGGGGCTTGAAACTGGCCTTTTAGGAATGAGGGAGCTATGAAATTCTTACTTAGTAAAGACCAACACTCATTAGAAAAATTATGAGTAAAACTTTGGTTCAATCATATTGTAAATTCATATTCCTTTTTACTAAAATTAAATTTTGTTCATATTGTAGTTGTAGTCTGAAGAGCTATGATCGATGATCTTTCATTATGAACTAAATAGTATTATTCTTTCTCTTTAGAACAACATCACTGGGTATAACATTTATCATCTTAAAAGAAAACAAAACATTGAATTAATATTATCTTTAAAATAGACCACTAAGCATGTTCTTCATTATGATCTTCTAATTGGTACCAATTTTTCATTGAAGTCAATTTGTGTGCAGGAAGTAATTTCAAGTCTTAAAAAGGTAAACCGAGTGATTTAGTTCATGACAAGTTCTGTTTTCATTCACAGATAATGCCTCTGAGGTAGCAATTATTGCTCCAGGAACTAGTAACCATAGAAACAGTTCAACAGGTCCAACACCTGACTGCTCACCTCCATCCCCCGATACTGCCCTCAAGAATATTGTAAAAGTTATTCGACCGCAGGTAAGTGCCAACAATGACATTGTCTGCATGGTAATGTATTGTTTTTAAATCGATGCAGATTCATCACTTACTTTGCAATGCCCAGATTATTATATGCGATGCAATGTATTTTTTAAGTTAAGAAACTAAAAAGAGGCTGATTGCGTCCCATGAAATTGACAATAGACACTGAAATAAGTATTAGCTGTTGGAAAAGTGATCTTGCATTTATAAGAAGAAACAAGAGAAGTTTAGAAAATGGCTATTTCATATTTTTCTCTCACAACATTATTGAGTTGTTAAAGTGTTCTGATGTTTCCTATCATTTTTTTTTCTTTATTCTTGTGGTCCAGCTGCATTATTTGTGCTCATTTTTATTTACCATCCTGCACCAGTGTGTGTGTGTGTGTGTGTGTGTGTGTGTGTGTGCGCGCGCGCACGCGCGTGTGTGTGTGTGTGTGTGTGTGTGTGTGTGTGTGTTTAAATACATTTTTCTTTAAGTGTTCTGTTCCTTATGGTTTCTAATAATACTCTCTGTTTGGTATTACACCTCTCATTGCTCCTTATTTTCTCCAGTGTTCCTCTCTAGTCTCTCTACCCTTTGTTCTTTTTTCCATTTCTGTCATTTGTCTGTATGGGTTTCTTTCTTCCCCCTTCCTTTCAGTTGGATTTCCCAGTAGGCGGTTTGCAGGCAAGCTTTAGAAATATCATTGGGACAAGCTGTTCTGTGATATTTCATTGAAAAATAGCACTTATAAAGCTGTTTGCATTACAATTTTGCCAACAGATGGACCCAGAACATGGAATTGGTGGTGTCTCAACCTAGCTCATTCTGAATGGGCTTCATCACATGTAAGAGAGAGCTAGAGATTAGGACCCTATCAATGCCATTTACTCTACTGAGACATATAGTATGAATATGTCCCTTCAGACAATCTGTAGGTCAAATTTGTCTTTTAAGATTGTTTAAGTGAGCAATGAGTTGTCAAATATCTTACCTCCTCTAATATAACTAATTTAGGATAATTTTATTATAATCCTAGATTCATCAGTAAAATGGTATTTCAATTTCACATGTCCACTATAGCATGTAGAATACTTCATGCAAACTATTTCACTCACCTTCATCATTTCCAAAAGAATTTATAATCTAGTGTTGTAGATAAGGTTGCTGCTCTAAGATGCTGTTCTGTCCAACTGATTCTGAGTTTCTTGTTCTCTTTAGTTTAATAGCTATCTTTTCCAGTTCTGTTCAGAAGTTGTACATCTAGATACATCTTTATGAGTATAGAACTTATAAGTAAAAAGTTGTTTAGACACAGATAGCACTTTATAGTACCCTATAATGAGGAAGAAGGTGTTTTCTAACATTCCCTTTCTTTTCAGAGAAATTTGATCTATTTGATTCAAGAAATACATCTTATCATAGGGTTAGATGTGGAATGTCACATGTGTTGTCATTGGTTCGCATCCTATAAGGATATTTCTATTATTGTTATGAATTTATTATAGTTTCAGCATCTTAAAACTATTTGGGAAACAAATATTGGTGCACCCAGATATGTCAAACAAATGCTCTCAAACTTACAGAATAAAATAGATCCCAATACGATAATACTAGGAGACTTTAACACGCCACTCTCACCAAAGGACAGGTCTACCAACCAGAGGATTGGCAAAGAAGCTACCGAATTAAGTGAGGCCATACTTCAAGCGGAATTAACTGACATCTACCGAGTATTTCACCCTAAAACAACACAGTACACATTCTTCTCAGCAGCTCATGGAACTTTCTCCAAAATAGACCATATCATAGTTCATGCAAGGAACTTAAGCAAATACAAAGGGATCGACATAATCCCCTGTATCCTATCTGACCACAGTGGAATCAAGTTAGCTCTCAATAACAAAGCATACCGCAGAAATTTCTCTAATACATGGAAATTGAACAGCACACTCCTTAACAATGCCTGGGTAACAGAAGAGATCAGAGAAGAAATAAAGCATTTCCTACAACTCAATGAAAATGAAAACACCTCACAAAGAAACTTGTGGGACACAGCAAAAGCAGTCCTGAGGGGCAAATTTATTGCCCTCAGTGCCCACATCAAGAGAATGGAGACAGACCAAGTAAATAATCTCATGTTGCAACTAAAACAGCTAGAAAAACAAGAAAAAATGGGACCTAAAGCTACTAGACGAAGCCAGATAACCAAATTAAGAGCAGAGATTAACCAATTAGAAAATCAGAAAACCATAACCAAAATAAACCAAACAAAAAGCTGGTTCTTTGAAAAAATAAGCAAAATTGATGGCCCGTTGGCAAGATTAATTAAAAAAAGAAGAGAGGAAACCCATATTAATAGGATTAGGGATGCCACCGGAAACATCACAACACGTACCCAAGATATCCAAACAATTTTAACAGACTACTTCCAAACAATTCTAACAGACTACTTTCAAAAGCTATACTCTCTAAAGGAAGAAAATCTGGCAGAAATGGATGCATTTTTAGAGAAATACAAGTTACCCAAACTGAGCAAAGAAGAAGTTAACCAATTAAATAAGCTAATATCCTATAATGAGATACAGGAAGCTATCAAAAGTCTTCCAACAAAAAAAAGCCCAGAACCAGATGGATTCACAGCAGAATTCTATAAGACCTTTAAACAAGAACTAATACCCATACTCCTCAAGCTCTTCAGAGAAACAGAGAAGGAGGGAGCTATCCCAAACTCATTCTACGAAGCCAATATCACACTCATCCCCAAACCAGGCAAAGACCCAACCAAAAAGGAGAATTACAGGCCAATTTCCTTGATGAACACAGATGCAAAGATCCTTAACAAGATTCTAGCTAACAGAATCCAGAAACACATAAAAAAAAATAATATACTATGATCAGGTAGGCTTCATCCCAGAGACACAGGGATGGTTTAACATACGTAAGTCAATAAATGTAATCCAACATATCAACAGAGCCAAGGTCAAGAATCACATGATTATCGCCACAGATGCAGAAAAGTCCTTTGATAAAATTCAACATTCATTCATGCTAAAAGCTCTGGAGAAAATAGGAATAGAAGGAACATTTCTAAAAACAATAAAAGCCATTTATGACAGACCAATAGCCAATATTATACTTAATGGGGAAAAGCTACAACCAATCCTCCTAAAATCAGGAACAAGGCAAGGATGCCCACTGTCTCCACTCCTCTTCAACATAGTCCTAGAACCCTTAGCCAGGGCAATAAGGCAAGAAAAAGACATTAAAGGGATCCGCATAGGGAAAGAAGAAGTTAAACTATCCCTTTTTGCAGATGACATGATACTATACCTCCACGATCCCAAAAACTCCATCCCCAAACTTTTAGAAATCATAAGTCACTTCGGCAAAATAGCAGGATACAAAATAAACCCACAAAAATTAGTTGCCTTCCTATACACTGATAACGTACAGGAAGAGAGGGAAATAAAGGGAGCAACCCCATTCACAATAACCTCCCAAAAAATAAAATATTTAGGAATTAACCTAACCAAAGATGTAAAAGAACTATTTAATGAGAACTATAAAAAGTTAAAGAAAGAAATTGCAGAAGACACTAGGAAATGGAAAGACCTCCCATGCTCCTGGATAGGCCGACTTAATATAGTAAAGATGGTAATACTTCCAAAACTAATATACAAATTCAATGCAATTCCTATTAAAATCCCAATGACGTACATCACTGAAATACAGAAAACAGTCCAAAAATTTATATGGAACAACAAAAGACCTAGAATAGCCAAAACAATTCTAGGGGATAAAGACAATATGGGAGGGCTATCCATGCCGAACTTCAAACTCTACTACAGAGCTATAATAACAAAGACAGCATGGTACTGGCACAAAAACAGACCCGAAGACCAATGGAACAGAATAGAAGATCCAGAAATAAATCCACAGGCCTACAGCCAGCTGATATTCGATAAAGGAGCCAAAGACATACAATGGAAGAAACACAGCCTCTTCAACCGCTGGTGCTGGGAAAACTGGGCAGCCACATGCAGAAAACTAAAAGTGGACCCCAGCCTATCACCCTGCACCAACATCAACTCAAAATGGATTAAAGACCTTAACATTAAACCTGAATCTCTGAAACTACTGCAGGACAGAGTAGGAGAGACACTTGAACTAATAGGCACAGGAAGGAACTTCCTGAACAGAGTCCCAGGGTCACAACAAGTTGGAGAGAGACTCGCCAAATGGGACTACCTTAAAATAAAAAGTTTCTGCACAGCTAAATCTATCGCAACTAAGCTAGAAAGACAACCAACTAATTGGGAAAAAATATTTACCAGCAATATATCAGACAAGGGGTTAACATCCTGTATATACAGGGAACTCAAGAAACTAATCCCTCCCAAACCTAACAAACCAATTACTAAATGGGCAAGGGAACTAAAGAGGGACTTCTCAAATGAAGAAATAAAAATGGCAAAGAAACACATGAGGAAATGTTCATCATCCCTGGTGGTGAAGGAAATGCAAATAAAGACAACCCTGAGATACCACCTTACCCCAGTCAGAATGGCCCACATCCTCAAATCAGCCAACGACAAATGCTGGAGGGGATGTGGAGAAAGAGGAACCCTATTACACTGCTGGTGGGAATGTACACTTATACAACCACTTTGGAAAGCAGTCTGGAGGGTCCTTAGAAAGCTAAAGATTGACCTCCCTTACGACCCAGTCATACCACTTCTAGGCATCTACCCTGAACAACAGGAACCAATATACAAGGACACGTGCACCTCCATGTTTATTGCAGCACTGTTCTCAATAGCTAGGATATGGAAACAACCTAGATGCCCCACCACAGATGAATGGATCCAAAAATTGTGGTATCTATACACAATGGAATATTATGCAGCCATTAGAAATGACAAAATAATGGCATTTGCAGGGAAATGGATGGAGCTAGAAGGAATCATGTTGAGCGAGGTAAGCCAAGAACGAAGAGACAAACGGTACATGGTCT